GTTTGCTTTTCAAATAAGCGTGGGTGCTGGCTTTTTCTTTTCCTTTGAAAAAGTGCAGCAACAAAGGCTTTTTGATTTAAGATCTCAGACACCCAAGTTCATGGAATATAATAATCCCCCAAATCCTCAGGTTTAGCCAAATTAATGTTTAAACTTTTGGAACCCACATCCTTGCCTTTTTAGATCTGAGTCCTCGTCCTACAAAGGAGTGGGCTGTCAGGGGCGGCAGCAGCTGTGTTCCGCGCACATGCAGCCCTCAATCAGCTTCCCTTGGGTGGGAGAACTGAGGATTTTTCTCCCTGCCCCCACCCGCACAGCCCGCCGTCGATTCGGCCTGCTCAGGAAATCCAGCAGCACAGCCACGGCCTGGCTTGTTTTCTGCGCCCAGGAAGTGCTGTAACTGTTCACAATAAATCAACAGGAAATGCAAATTCGCATTTTCTCGTGTTCTCTTCCACTCCCGATAAGAGCCAGCATTTACTGATCTGGAGTGAAATTCTCTGCTTCTTGGTCTGCTTCTCAATGCTGCAGCTGTGAAGGCCACTGTCCCAGGCGTGACCCATGCTCTCCCGAGGCCTTGGGGAGGTGTCAGCTGTCCTGGGGTGAGCTGCCCGGCGACATGGCAAGGCTGGTGGGTCCGCCCAGTCTGTGCAGGTTAAAGTGAGCAGCTCTCGCTCCCTTTCTGAACGTGACTAATAATACTTAAAGTTTTTTTCTGACTTGTTTTCTGTTTTATAATTAGTTCATGCTTATTGTAGGGGAAAAAAAACGGGGGAATAATGCTAAACATCAAAGTGACCCATAACCCTAGCCCACTGCCTGCCTTGGTTTTTCTCCATGCACACAAGTGCATGAAAGTACTGTCAGGCTTGTATTTGTATTAGTTTCCTGTCACTGCTGTGACAAACGACCACAAACACCGTGGCTTAAAATGACACAAAAGTGTTATCTGATAGTTCTAGAAGTTGGAGGTCTATGCGTCAGTTGCAGACTAAGCATAGTCGCCACCACCCCATAACTGCCAATGTGATGGTATTTGGAGGTGGAACCTTTTCGGAGATAATTAGGGTTGGATGAGAGGAGGGTGGGGTCCTCCTAATGGCATTAGTGCCCTTAGAAGAAGGGCCACCCGAGAGCTCAGTCACTCGCTCTGCAGTGTGAGGACATAGCTAGGAGGCGGCCGTCGGCAGGACAGAAAGATGATTCTCACCGGAGCCCAGCCATGCTGGCACCCTGACCTCAGACTTCCAGCCTCCAGCACTGTGGCTTAAGCCACCCTGTCCATGGTGTTTTGTGAGGGCAGCTCAAGCGGACGAAGGTAGTGTCTTTCTGGACTACATTCAAAGTATTAGCAGGGCTGTGTGCGCGCGCGCGTGCGTGTGTGTGTGTGTGTGTGTGTGTGTGTGAAGACTGTTGGCTATAGACTTCTGAGGAGGAAAGTAGGTGTGAGACAGGTCCCTCTACAGCTTTTTAGTAGTCTGTGTATTCCTAAAATGGCCCGCAGAAGTCCAGTGCATGGCTTGAACCGTACTAGGGCATGGGGGAGGGGAATATGGTTGAGATCCCAGGGCCCAGCAGAGCAGCCTGGCCCAGCTGACTTCCCCAAACCAAGGGGATGGGGCACAGTGTCTCCTGTCTTTGGGGACCTGTGACAGCTTCTCCTGAGGCTCTGATGTGGGCTTGGTTATCTGAAATCCCCTGCTCTCTAGACCTCTCAGCTACTTGCTCTTTGGAAGCAGCTGCTCCAGACGTGCTGCACCCGTCTTCTGCTGCTGCTCCTCATGCGACCTCTAGTGTCTGTAAATGGTAACACTTGCTCCAGAGGTGATGGGTGGTTTTGCTAGAAGACATAAGCAGGAAATGCCTCTAATGTTTAATGGTTGACTCCGTCTCTCTATTAACCCTTTGCCCTCTTTACAGTTCTCTTTCAGCCTACATCCCATCAATATCGTTTAGCCATAATCAGCATGATCTGGGTTCCAGACCAGACCCGACTCATTGTTACTAGCTAGTGTAACTCGGGCTGGCCTCAGCACCTGAGCCTCCACGGTCGAAACCCTTCACAGACGTCAGGACATCCACCCTGACTACATCCTGAGATTATTGTGAGGATCAAGTGACAAGATGCCTGTAAATGAAATGCCATTTAAATGTGCTGCTGTTACTGCAAAGCCACTGAGCCTGTGATTCTGTAGAACAAGCTTGTGTCATTGCATGTGCATTGGTGAAGGTGTTTGAATTCTTTCCTCAGATTCTCTATTGGGAATTCGGTCCCCACCCACAAGCATTGAATAAGTAGCTGCGATGTATGTTTCATCATGTACTTACTGGGTCCTTCAACAAACTGGAGCTCCTACCTCGTGCCAAAGACCACAGCGGGTGCTGGGATCCAGCAGTGACCAGGGCAGGCAAGGTCCTATCTTAAGGGAGTTTATATCCAGATGAACGAAGGGGTTCATAGGTGATTGAAGTGCTCCCTGTCTTCAGGGGACTTTCCAGCTAACTTGAGAAGAGAAGCTTAAGCAACCAGATATGATATACGTCAGCATGTGGACAAGGCTTTCACAGACGTATAACCCAGTGCTACGAAGTGGGTATGGAAGGGTGAAGGCAGGAAGATGGACTACACTTTCTAGAAGTTTAATGCTGGACGGGGGGGGGGGGGGGGGGGGGGGGTGGTGGGAGACGATTTGGACACTTAAGAGGTCAGTTGGAAAATTGACCAGTGATGACCAGCCTTGGCAATAGTGTTTATTTCTAGTTCTAGAAGAACTGCAAATATTTTATGTAGAATACCCACAAAATTGCTTATTCTCATTCTATGGACATTATTGAGATTCTGAATAAATAGTAACTAGATAAATTAGATGCTTGCTGTTTAAATTTTAATTTAGTCCTTATGCCAACTGAATGGGGTAGGTACCTCGATTATCATACCCATTCTACAGATGAGGTAACAGATAGAAAAACAGTAAGTAACTTGCCCAGGCTTGTTTGGCTGTGAAGTAGTGGATTCAAACCCAAGCAGGCTGGCTCCTGGGCTTATATGCTTACCTCTGTGCTATATGGTTTCTCAAGCCTTCATTTAAAAAGTCAATCTGAAATTGCAGAGACATATTTTAGTGTGCAGAGGTGATATTTCCTGAGGTCTGGGACTGTTTTAAAATACTTCAGTATTAGGAAGGGAGGGAGGGAGGGAGGGAAGGAAGGAAGGAAGGAAGGAAGGAAGGAAGGAAGGAAGGAAGGAAGGAAGGAAAGATAGATGAAACAGGTATGGTAAAATCTTGATAAATATTTAACATAATTGATGGGAAGCCATTTAGCATTCCCTAATTTCCATAATAAAAAAATAGAAATCATTGCTAGTGAATATGAGAACTGTGAAATATTTTTACCTTGCTGTTAATATCAAAAGACTTTTTGTAAATGATCTAGGTAATTTAGGTCAAGACAACGAGTTTCCCTAAGTTACTAATGTAACAGTGTCTCTTGTGGATGGAGTGCCCCGTTCTGTGTATTAAAAACAACTCCCCACCTAATTGCCAAATGTGGTGGCCATGCTGTTTCTTTAGATCAGTAAGGGTCGATCTTCTTGCCAAACCTATTTGCTAGAAGGCCAAAATGTCTGAGTTAGAAGGGACCTCAAAGACAACTTCTTCCACAGTTCTCGTTTTATAGCTAGGAGAACCTAAGCGATCAGCCCAAGGTTAGACTGGGAACATTAAGTGATTGTCTGTAGCCAACCACATGCATAGTTCATAGAAGAGCAGAGATTAAAACCTGGGCTTCCTGAGTTCTAAGGGAGTTTCCAACTCCATCAAAAGCAGCTGGACCCAGAAGGGGCTATAGAGACCCATTGGAGACATGGACCCCGGGCTTCCTTTTAGTCCTGCTCTGTTAAATGTCTGGGGAAGAAGACGAAGAAAGATGAGTCACCGTCAACTTGGGGCTGTAAGGGGTCAAATGGGTCTTTACTCTAACCTTGGCAGGTTCCAAACTTTGGAATTGAATGGTTCTACTTGTTTTGTGTTGTTTTTTTTTCTTCACATTCCTTGTTCACAGATCCTTTGCCCCCACAAAGGGCACAGTTGGAACAAGCATGGCCGTTGTACCTCAAAATACTTCTCGGAGGTGCATTTGGGGCTCTGTGTCGCTAAAACCCACCCCTTGATAGACTAGAAGTCAGGGCCGGGCATCTCCCAAGAGGGAGAGATACAGAAGGTCTCAGTGGAAGTCACTTTGACCTGATCTCTTTATCTGGGAATTCCCGTAAGGCATTTCCAAAGTTCAAATCTCACCTTCCCTGAGACTGGTGCACACCTTCCCTGCAACACCACAGCTGTCTGTTGGCATTCATTCCTTAAGGTTTGGGGGTATCTCAAACCCAGATGCTTTAGGGCCGGGGCAGGTAAGGTACATGAGTGAAGCTGGCCTGTGTGTAAGACTGGGCGACCTGGAAGAACAAACCTGGGTCTTATTCAAAGGTCTTACAACACTGTGCTGTCCATGCCTGAAGCTGGGCAGGTCTGATGATAGTTGGTGGCCTTCGATAGAGAACAAAGAACCTGGCGAGGAAACCAGGAGACCTGGGTCCCATCAGTGACCTCAGCACAGCCCTCCCTTTGCAGGACCTCAGTTTTCTTTACTGGTAAGAAGTGGGTCTCTAAGGCTCAAAGGCGCTGTCCCCTCACAGTCTAATTCTATGATCTGTGATAGAATTCATGTCCCCAAAACAGTGGTTTCTCTGACATATATTTGCAAGGTGCCCAATAGGCCTCTTAGGTCTGACATTTTAGGACTGGGTTCCTTGAGGTCCCTGTTGGATGGTTTGTGACTTTATCCTTAAGTACTTTGATTGCTGTAATAAAGTGTCCTGCACGTAAGCACGGCCGTGGTACCACTCTCTGCATCGGAGGTTGCTGTATTGCTGGTTTTCTCCTTTCTGAAAGCAGTCATGAGCAGACGAGCTTAGAAAGGGTGTTCTCTTCGTATTGTTTCAGGGAAAATAGAGAAAGTCAGACCTCCTCCATCCCCCACACCTGAAGGCCCCAGCTTGCAGCCTGACTTAGCCCCCGAAGAGGCTGCCGGATCCCAGCGGCCCAAGAATCTGATGCAGACCCTCATGGAAGACTATGAGACACACAAATCTAAAAGGCGCGAGAGGATGGATGATGGTAGTGTAAGTCTCTTCTCCTTTCCTCTTTCACTTCTCCGAGGGTGAATGTAGCGGGGCGTGTGGTGTCCCCGTTCCGCACGTGTAGACAGCTGTCTGCCAGCAGCCTGGTTCCAAACCCGATCTTCAAATGTGTGGTGTCACGTGCCTGGAGTTGGGTTTGGGTTTTTGCCTTGTTTCTCAAAAACATCGATCATGCAAGGAACAGGTCTTTTTCCTGCCAGCTATAATGTGAGCCCATTGGCAGTGTTAGTGCCTGGGCTGTTCGGTGGGTAGAAAGATGCTGGGCAAGAAGGGAAGAAGGACCTCAGGACCCTGTATCAGCCCAGGTACCAGGGAGCTGACTTCTACCATCGCTGGCCCGCTCTGTAGGCTTGTTTCTCTAGAGAACTACGACGATCCTATTCCTTCAGTGTCTCCTCTGGGCCATCCCTGTAAATGTTACTCAGTGCTCAAAAGACCGAGTGCGTTTGGGGCTGTTATCAAGCCTTATGTACAGTTTGGCAGGAAAGAGCCATTTAAAATGACAGTTCAAAGCCACACGGCTACCAGCTCCCCTCAACCCTGAGAACTTGGCGTTCACATGAACTGCGAAGGAAGTCATCTGCTCTGGGTTTCTTTCTCCAGTAAGAGACGTGAGGGTGGTTGTGCCGCAGCTGGAAACTGGGCATCGGCCTCGGGTCCACACCAACCTCCTAGGAGCCTGCTGGCCTCGGTGTCTTAGCGTTAACTGGGGGGCCGCCTCTTCCTCCTGGTTACACCTAGGTCACAGATAGCGTGGGGTCGGTGGAGGATACCGCTCGGTTTACCTGGGACAGGCCTGGTTTATGCCTGTTGTCCTTTTTCATTATTAATAGCATCCTCTTTCGCTTCTAAAGGTGCCCCAGTTTGGATGATAAATTGTTTGGTCACCTTAAGCTTGAAGGCTGCGGGACTCCCGGTGAGAATTCCAGGCTGACTTATTGCCTTTCATAGCCTGGTTGACCAAGTTAAAGGATTTCTGCAGTTGACACTCAGTGTTGCTTTCAAAGTATTTGGTGGTAGAGAAAGCAGACACCTACAGCAGCCCGACGGCTCACTTGGCATCTCCAGGCTCTCTCGGGCCTCCCCCTAAACGCCTTGGGACCCTGGCCCGGCTCTGCTGTTAGGCTGGAGCGTTTCTGAGCTGCTTTCTGTCTCAGAGGGACGAGGCTGGCCCTCGGTGGCCGATGCAGACTTTCCAATGCTGGAGCGCCTTCCCTGAGCCCGTAGGGCCTTTTCTGTCCACCAGGTCACTTTAGCTGGCCCTTCCTTGCAGCCCCACTTAAAATATGGAGTTTACCTTTAGGCATTTTCTGGAACCTGTGACCATTTTGAAGCCAAGTGCTAGGAAACGGGCTTCTTTTCCCCAGTGACTCCAGCCATGCAGTCGGCTGAGTGGACCTCGTGCATTCTGGTTGGGGAGAGCACCATCGAGCGTTTTCCAAGCGCCCTCTGCACGTCTCCTGTGTGTGCCTTCGGTGTGGAGGTGCGGACGCTGGAGGAAGAAACTACACACAGAAGTGGGAGCTCATTTCATAGGCAGAGGCGGAAGCCTCCTCCGTGCAGACGCTCAGGCAGCCGCCTGGCCAACGCCAACCAGGCTGGCTCCCCCCGTGCATTCGGGCGGCTGCTCAGAATCAGAGTTTCAATATACTGATTGCCCTCCTTGTATGCGACGAAGGGCCAGCCTCCCGTCCTGATTTTTCTCCAGTAAATAAACATTTCATATAAGGAAGGAACCGACTAATGAACCAAGTTGATACCATCCCTAGATCTTCAGTTCAAAGCCAAGTGGTTTGCACTGTTTTTGATAACACAGGAGAACCAAGTTTGTTATTGTTGAAAATTCTTAGGAACAGAACACAAGAATCCACTATAGCCCTTGTAAGAGACCCAGGCTTGGAAAAAGCATACTCAGATTGCTTCTACGGCAAATGTATGATCAGAGCCCCCGTGACCCCGTTTCTTAGCCTTCTTGATTCAGGGGATCTTTTCTATTGTGTCTGTGTCAAGTCACTGGAGCCTAGGTTGACGTTTACCTGGAGGAATGAACACGCCTTCATCTGCGTTCCCAGCTGATCCGTGGCCCCTTTTCCATTGTCACTGGTACGAGAAGGGTAATAAGTAGGAGCAGGTGGACTGCTCCATGCTTGTGTTGTGTAACTGGCTTTCCTGCCCCGGAAGCTGTCTGCTCCAGTCACACACGCTATTCTCTGGGCAAACTATGGCTTCTCAGATGCCCCACCCTCTAAGGACCGCACATGGCTCACCTGGGCCCAGTCATCCGGCACCTGCCCATGTGCCTTCCGAAAAGTCTCTTAGGAGCCCCTCACACACGGCCAGGGCCCAGCCATGTGTTTGTCCATAGGAATTAGCAAGCTCTTTCTGAACTGAACGAAAACAATTCTTACTTGCTGTGCTTCCTAACGAGAAGGCGGACTTAAACACAAAATAGGGTTCCTGCGAGGTACACCCAGTGATGCATCAGACACAGTGGTATTAATGGGCATGAAGAACAGAAGAGGGAGGGGACAGAGAAGCCACAGAAAGCCGGGCCTGCAGTGTTCATGAGTTACTTTGGCCAACCTACCTGCAGAGACCGACCTTTGCCATCCAAACAGGTGTGGCGTCCCCACCCCCACCCCAGAGCATCACCCCAGTTCTCTGGGGACTGTCCAAAGTTGGTCCTTCGAGCTCATTTTCCATAACCAGGACATTGTTTTTTCCTAAGCTTTCCTTGCAGTGACTTTTTGTCTCTTATAGGAACTGAAGGGTCATTTTAGTTCCTACACAAGCACCCCACTCGGGAACTTGTCCATGTCCCCAAGGTGGTGATGAGAGAGGCTGGATGGTTTCCCTAGGTGTCCTTGGGTCAGCTTCAAAGACTCTCCCTCCACCGACCTTGTATTCGAGCAACCTTTGTCTGTAGTTAGGGTCTCCTTTTTGTGGGACAATAGGCTACAAGACTGCTTTGGGGTTCAGAGGCACCTACAGGAAGAGAAACGCTCTTTGGTTATAGATTCTAGCTAATCCAAAATGGACATCAAGGACCTTGCTGTGGGTGTCTGCTTACATACCAGGGGGTTGGGGGACCTTGTTAATTCAAAGCACAGGAAACGGATGCAACAAATCTTGAATTAACAAAGTATGGCTTATCTGATATTTTTATTAAATAATAATAGAGTATCTATTTGCTCCAAAAGATACAGACTTCTAAATAAACTAATATCAGATGCAGTGAGTCTCGGCATGGGTATGTGAGGGTCTCCTGGTGGTACACCCCTCCTGTCTGCCCGGTGTGGTCCCAGTTCCTGGCTGGGGGGTGTTCTGTGAGTGTGTCTCTGCCATGTACTAACCCTGGTCTTTTCCCTCTCTGCCAGTACACCTCTAAGTTACTGTCTTGCAAGGTGACTTCCGAGGTACTGTTCAACGTGTTTGTCCTGGTCTTCCTGCATGCCTGGCCCAGGTGCATGCTGTGTGGTTTGCCATTTCCTGGTGGGCTGAATGAGAAGGACAAGCAAGCAGTTGTCTTTATGTCTTTTTCATCCAGTTGTTTCTGAACGGCGGTGGGGGAGACGGCCTCAAAATGTGGACGTGCACGCAGCCTGCTGCACTTGGCTGTGGCGTGGGGTGTGCTCAGAGAGGCCCCGCCCTCTCGTGGAGCAGGACCATGTTGGCACTGGAGGGCACAGCCGATGGCTGTCTTCAGTTACTCCAACACGGGCAGCAAACACTCCCTGATGTGCTTAGAAAGCAACGCAGCTGAAGAGGATCGGTCCTTTGTTTGCCTTCGGATGGATCCAGAGAACTCCATGCCATAACTTTATAAGTTATTCCCAAAGGGAACCATCCTGGCTTCCCTTTGGCCCAGTTGTTAAATCTGTGTTTTTGTTTTGGAAGCTTCTTTAAGCATCGAATTTCCGCAAAAGTCTCCTTTCCCCTACAACTTCCTTTTACACAGATTTCACAGATGGGGCCTGTGAAAAGGCACAATGTTCATTTTCCCTATTTTTTTATATTTTCTCTTTTTCTGCTGTGAGAAGGCACAGTGTTTTTCATGTTTTTATTTCTATAGCGTTGTATTGTTTTTATTTAAATTTATTTTTCTTCATTGATTTTAGAGAGAGAGGAAGGGAGACGGAGAGAGAGATAGAAACATCGATGAGAGAGAACATCAAGTGACCGCCTCCTGCATGCCCCCCACTGGGGATCAGGCCCACAACCTGGGCGTGTGCCCTGACCGGGAATTGAACCAGCCACCTCTTGGTGCATGGGTCGATGCTCAACCACTGAGTCATACTGGCCGGGCTGTATTGTTTTTATTGTAAAATAATTGTTTTACACACAAAATTCTGGAGAGAATCAGTTTCATTCACTCAGTTAACAGTTTATTGGGCCTGGCCGATTTGGCTTAGCGGTTAGAGTATCAGCCTGCAGACCGGAGAGTCCCGGGTTTGGTTCCCGCTAAGGGCATGTACCTCAGTTGCAGTTTGTCCCCGGCCCCAGTTGGGGTTGTGTGGGTGGCAACCAGTCAATGTGCCTCTTTCACATCAAAGTTTCTCTCTCTCTCCTCCCTCCTCTCTCCTCGCTCTATCTGAAGATAAATGCAAAAAACAAAACAAAACAAAAAACAGCTTATTGGTCAACTGCAGTGGGGCAGGCTTGTTCCAGGTTCGAGAGCAAAACAGCTGGCAAAACCCAGCCCCTGATGTCATGGAGCAGGCGTGCAAATGTGCCGAGTAACATGGCGCAATAAGATAACATGGCCCGTCCGTCCAGCTGGTCCGTTTTTATTTCATATTTGCTTAATATTTTAAAAAGAAGTTAATATTGCAAATAGAACTTAAGCCTTCCTGCCACTCTCCCGGTTCCCACGTCTCTCTCCTGAGAGGACCATTCTTGAGTTGGGTATTCATCAGTTTCATGCATGTTTTTATACTCACGCTACATATGCATAAATCGTATGTTCTGGTTTTGCATGTTTTAGAACTTTCTATAAATGACATCATATTGTCGTGTCCTCCACCCCTTACTTTATTTTCGTTGCATTGTTTTTACATATATGCCTATGGATATGTATGGCTCTAGGTCACTCATTAGAACTGTTGTGTGGTATTCCACTGAATGAACACATCACTATTTATTCATCCTCCTAGTGATGGAAATGTAGGTTGTTTCTTTTTCTAAAAAAAAAGAAAGAAAATGTATTGCCACTCCAAACAGTGTTTTGCAGAGTGTTACTATGCTTATCTCTTCATGCACCTAGGGGAGAATTTCTCTCTGTATCTGGAAATAGAAGGGCCTGTTATAGGGCTTAGATAGCCTGGCATTCACTGCATATTGTAAATTACTCTTCTTATTGCTCGTGCCAACCTATAGTACCATATATTTTTTAAATTGCCCTATTTAGCAAAAAAAATCATAGTTAACTGTATATGTAAGCTGATGATTATCAGCAATTTTCTTTCAAAGGGTATAAAATGAATATTGAGAATATCATTATATGTTCCTTTCTCAATGTCCAACTGTGGTATTCAGAACCTTAGACGTATTTTTTAGCTTTTAGGTACACCTCTCAGTTTGTATGTGCAAGGTGACATTTTACACAATGTGGAGGTCCTTATAAAAATGCCCTGTATTTGAATACCACTTGATAGTTTTTAAAGCCCTTCACATGATGACAGAAATAATTAGCGTTTGAAAACTTACGATGCACTGGGAACTATTGCTAAATGCTTCCCATACATACGATGCCCGTGTATTCCTCAGGTCAACTCTATACTGTTGTTCTTATTGTTCCCACTGTACATATAAGGGAACAGAGGCATGGGGGTCAACTTTCCCAAGGTGACACAGTCACTAGGATCTAAACTGAGACCTGCCTGGACTTCAGAGTCGGCACTGCCTCCTGAGAAAGCCTGCGAAGTAGGGCAGTGGTGCTGTGTCCATTTCACAGATGAGGAAAGTTGAGGCACAAGATACCATGAACAACAGCAGCATGTTCCAGAGCTGGCCATAGAGCTCAGACTCCCAAGTCTGGTCCAGCGCTGCTGCACGGTACCATGTTACCATGCACTGACCGGAAGCCTACTCTATAACTAGAGCAGATTTGGAAGCATGCTTTTTCCTACTGATACCTTATTCTTGGATATTGAGTAAGTGGCCATGATATGCTTACAAACAAAACACTGTCTGGCATGGCTTACAGACTGTCCTCCAAGCCCTGGCTGGTTTGGCTCAGCGGTTGGAGCATCGGCCTGCGGACCAGACTGTCCTTCATGTCAGGTCCAGCTGTCCCTGCTGGGAGGACGGGGAAGGCTTCGCCAGGGACAGCCCACCGAAGCTCTGGGAGGCCGATTCACTTACCAGAGGGGCAGAGAAGCAGGTTGAGATAGACCCTCAGAATCCGCTTATGCCTGGGCTCCCAGCGCTGCCTGTCACCTGCCTCTCCTTCTCTGGAGTTGCCAGCATCTCTGTCCCTTGTCAAAATGATTGTTCTTACTATAAGCAAAGCCTTCATTGCTATTTGGATAATCAGCCAGGGTTGGCTCTGCTGGACTTTTCTTTAAAATCAGAAACCTCACACTCTATGTGATGCCACAGTGATTGAGCTAGCTGGCAGGCATGGGCATGCTTTCGGTGGAGTGGCATGAAGTCGAGCCATTTCTCAGATGCTGGAAACTCTGTGTTACTCATCTGGATCGAACCAAAGCTGGAACAGATGGGCCGCAGTCCCCCCCAGGAGCCCACTGACTATTCTAGTGAGCAGAGGGAGGGAGGCCTAGCCTGAGGGTGGCGAGCCAATTGTCCTTGGTGTTGTCCCCTTTCATTTCACGTATTAGCACCTCTGGCCCTCAAGTTGCACCAAAATGCTCAGATTGCTTTTCACTGGCCTGATACGCTATCTCCCCCCGCCCCCCCGACTTAGTACCTCTTTGAAGCTTAATTATACCAAAGTAGACTTTCAAGGCCTAAATGTGATCCTTCGTAGCTTATATAGATCCACAAAGCCTAGTGGATTGAATCCACACTGGTCCAATTACTTGGAATTATCCTCTGGTTTGCTTGTTTACAGAGGACAGGGCAAGCTATTGCTGTGCTCTCATTACTACTTCCGCGAGGATATTTAAATGCAAATTAATTGAAATGCAATGTTCGGTTTCTCAGCCACACTGGCCCTATTTGAACGCTCAGGAGCCACACGTGGCTAGCGCTACCCTATTGGGTGGTGCAGATACAGAACATCAGACAGCACCCACCTATAGCACGGAGGGAGGTCGGCTTTGTTATCTCAAAACTCCCTGCAGTCAAGTCTAGTCAAAGAAACTTGCGGAACATTTCAGGAAAACTAAATCTGAATGTTGAAAACTCTAGGTCCCCAGCAAGTGAACTTTGGCTGTGAGGTGAACACCCAGAACTTCCCTGCCCCTTTGTGCCCTCCCCGCACACCAGACACTTTATTAGGTTCCCCTCTCATTAGATGCTGTTGGGGGGACCAGGAGGAAAGAAACAGAGGAGTTGGTTTGTATACACAGTTAACACCGATGAACTCTGCGTAATTTTCCCCTCTCTCTCCAGGTCCTTGAGGCCACGCGGGTTAACCGGAGAAAGAGCGCGCTGGCCTTGCGCTGGGAGGCGGGGCTCTATGCCAACCAGGAGGATGGGGACAATGAGTAACCAACTTCCTTCCACCCAGGAAGCTTCAGGGGTGCTTGGGTTACCTAGAAACCAAGCCCTCCCCACGTCACAGCATTTTAATGGAGTATTTATTAAAGTGCAAACAAACTCGGCAACCCTTCCGTAGACCAGAAGCTGCAATGATGAACAATAAAGTGAGAAAGAAATCCACCCATCACACCCTAGCCCCCAGGAGTCAACAGAGAAAGGATTTTTTGCGACTCAAAGAATCGCCTGGATTTGGACCAATCCACAACTGCTCCCAAAGGACACAGAAGTTACAGGCAAATCAACATGGTTGCTCCAGGCACAACCCGGAGCAGCCTTGCTGGGTGGAGAGGACACGGGCGACGGGCCCATCTGGACAGCAGTGGCGCCCAGGCTGGTGCCATCGACAGCACAGGATGCTCTCTGCACCCATTTCCGCCCGTCGCTCAGCATCGGAGGTGTTGAGTCAACGCCACTGACTCCAGCAGCCATAGAGTGAATCATGTTTCCCTGCTTACGGAGAAGAGGCAATTATGATTCCATTTCTCTTACATTAAACTGATTTTTATCGGGAGCAGTTAATAATCGCAATACATCAAACCCGTATTTTTAAGACAATGTTTCTTCATGTTGCAGACACAAACTGTTCCACGTGAGGAGGTTGAGGGGCGGGGGGAGAAAGCCAAACCAAATGGATTATTTTAGCTCTAGGGTCTAGTCTGCTTATACTGTTGACTGATTTGCAGGTTAGGAGAACACGTTTTCCCAATTATGTTTCTTCATATGAAAACTATATTTAGTGGACAACAACTATTTTTATGATGGGATGGGGGAATATATCCATGTTCAAGCCTGCGCACACTGAACAGCCTGGCTCAGGCGGGTCGGGGTATTTTTAGAGTGGCAATAATTGAGAAAAGGGCGAAATCTGCCTTACACAGGTAGATGTCGAGAAATAAAAGGGGTTTATATTTTCTATCATAAAATGGACCTTAGGGGTGGTAGGAAGATCGAGAGATTATTTTGGGTTAACCAGAAATGAAACATTAAAGAAAGAGCATGAAGGTAGAGAGAGAAGGGGGCAGAAAGGGTAGGGAAAATAAGGAATCAGGAGATATTTTTTTCTGAGCAGCCAGTGTTTTTCAGGATGATACAGAGAAATATAGACTAGAAATCGAAGGGCAGGCTTGGAATCAGCAACAAATCCTAAAGATGGTGTGTATGAGTGTGTGTGTGCACGCACGCACACTCATACACCTTTGTGTGTTTGTTAAAGTGTGTATGCTCATGCGTAAGGGTGTGTATGTTGGGGTTAAAATTCCAGAATGAGCATGGGACAGGGTGTACAGTATTTCCTCCAGAGCTGTTAGCCAGCGCCAGGGGTGAGCGAGAATTTCTTTTTTATGAAAAGGGATATAGAGGCACCGAGCTGATGCAGTATTCGTGATATGAAACTGAATTAACATGGTATCTGCATGAGTCACAATTGCAGAGTTTTGAGCAGGTTTGTAATTTGACACTTAGGAAAGTACCATATTTATTCTCATGCTTTGTATTCATGCTTAGTATACCACAGAAGATGCCAGCTTCACTCTTTCTGACCTTTAAAGCAATATGATAAGGGCATTCAATAATTGAGTGCCCTCAATTTCTAGATAAGAAATTTTTCCACTCTGGCCATGAGAAAAAAAAAACAAAAAACTGACCAGCATCATTTTTTTTCCTTTTGTTTTAAAACTGTGGTTTTAAAAAATAAGCAATAATGAAGTTCAGACCTCACTAAAATTAATTTTTGTTTGTATATTGTTATGTCATGAGCTCTAATATGTTATTCCGACAAGTAGCAATTCCACGAGATTTGTATGTAGATGTTATACACATTATCTTTGTTTCTTTTATTAGACTAGTGTTGACTTAGGGGAACGCTTATTCACAGACAAGTAGTGGGCACAGTGAAATGGGACCTGTCTGATCATTTACAAGGATCCGTTAACACTGCCAAGGGAACCTGCGGTTTGAAGGCAACTTCTGCCGATGGGCAGGGGGTGCCACCTTGATGTGGTCCATGCTCCTGAATATTCCGAATGAATATTCAACCGCACGCGCCCACCACTGGGCGCACCAAGCAAATAACACCCCTGCTGCAAGGAATTCATTTCCGAGTGGGGGAGGCTGGCACGGAGATCTGGGTTAGGTAGAAGCCCTGGCAGGTGACATGGGACAAGCAGGAAGGATGCTTTGCCTGGCGATGTCTAGTGTTCCCAAGGCAGGTACACGGATGAGGACAGATGGGGCGGCAGCGTTGCGTGGCCCGGGGCCCAGCAGCAGCCAGGACGCCGGAGGAGAGCGGAGGGCCTGTGGGTGGCACCAAACACGAACCTGCTGCCTGGTTCCTGGACTGGCCCGGATCTGGTCAGGACCATAGACGTGATCAGAACAAACTCCCCCATCTTTCCCAAGAGTGATCGGTCCGCGGGGCTTCGCTGAAGTGTTGTGTCCTGTGGCGAAGGAAACCCGTGTCCCTCCCTTAAACCTACATTTGGGGAGAGAACTTGCAGCCAAAAGGGATGCTCAGCAGGCCGCACGGCCGGGAGATCACATGAGAGGCCGGCAAGTAGGTCTCTGGCCACGGCGGATGGAGCCAGCGGCGCTGGCTGCCCCCAGCCCTTTGGTCGCGGGTCCCCGTGTAGATAAAGGCAATACGTGGCCTTCCGCAGCCAGAGCTGTTCCACGGGGCCCCTCCTCTCCGACAGCGCTTGTTCCCCTGCCCTGCCTCCTGGGCAAACTCTGTCTCCTCCCTCCCCTCACGTGTAACCCCACGCGTGTACATTACAGCCCCCCGGAGGGCCAGGTTTTCTCTGTGCTCTCGAGTTTTTTACTCCTTCAAGAAACATGGGGCCAATGCTTTGTACCTACCACTGTGCGAGGCTCCGGGGTCCCAGCTGAACCCCTGTCTAACTTTCTGAAGGTGGAACAGAGCCCTGGAGGAAAGTCCTTCTTGCCTGATCCTTCCAGAGGAAGAGGCTTGTGGGGAACTTGGCCCCCCAGGCGCGCCCCTGCCCCCAGACAGCACGCAAGCTTGTTAATCGCGACTGTAACCGATGTTTGGGTTCCCTAGAGGTTCAAGGCTGTCCTGAGAGTCACCCACGCCGCAGCGTTGCAGACGCCCGCCACCTCCGCAGCTGATGACTGGCGAGCCTTGGCGTTCTCGTCCACAAGTTATGGGGACAGGGTCTGTCAGTGGCAGGAGACCAGGCTGTGATCCACCCTGATGACACAATGCAATTCCTTTGCCTCTTTATACCCGTGCATGCTGCCCGCCTAGACAATGACATAGAAGCAGTATATGGATCCGTGTCCACGTATTTACACAACACGCACACACACGCACACACACACACACAGCGTAAAAAGGAACGCTGAAACAGTGTTGACTCTTGTCTCTGAGGACACGTAAACATTTCTTTCCAACTAAAAATGGATGTAATTAAACTATGTATTGAAAAAAATAGCCTAAGTATTTAGAGATGGTGACTATATCCAATTTTAGTGACAACCAATTTCCTGAATTAAGCATTCAGTGAGTGAGCTGCCAATCTTGATTTTGTGATGCCCTTTACCCAAATGACTTTTGTTTTTTTGTTTTTGTTTTTTTTGAGGAGGAGGGGGCAAAAGCAGCAATACTGTGTTTGAATATTAGACTCTGTATCCGGCTCTCCTGTGTATGTTAACCACTTAAATGTCATTATTTTGCTTCGGTTTTATAGTGATTGTGAGGCATTCAATGCAAGTATACAATTATTTTCTCATTAAAACCCAGTGTGTGTTGTGTTTTTCTAAATGATGGCTACTCGGTTTGGCTGCGGGAGGGAGGGAGGTTGAGGGCTGATCAGCCGGCGGCATCCAGCGCCCTTGGCCTCGACTCCGTGTGGCGGACTCTGCTTCCTGCTCATTTGGAACCAAGAAAGCAACCTGGCTGGCGGAGTACCACCCTCACAGGTTGTCCCAATGCCCCTTTGCAGTGTGGTCTCCAGCTGCCCTGCACAGAAGCCAGAAACTCCGAAAGGACCCACCGCAATGGTGCGGGTGCCTTGTGCCAGGTAGGTAGACTCCAAGGTCAAAGAGATGGCAGAACAAATCATACACCTCCAGCTTTGCAGGCGGCTCGGAGGCCCTCGTGTTTATCATTGCATCCCCAGCATCTGTAGCTAGCTCTCCTCTGAACAGGGAATTCCAGACTTGCCAGGTCCGGCAGGAAGCTCCCTCCCTGAACTCCCTCCTGGTCCTCCTTCTGCCTGCCCCCCTTAGTCTCCAGTTGCCTTGTTCCATCGCTCACCCCCTTGCACTTACTTACTTGTGCCCCTTACCTGCCTGCTCTTCCTTCCCCACTGCTCATCCCCACCCTGCCCCTCTTCCTTGGGGGGGGGGGGTCTCCTTTCCAGCTGCCTCTTAATCTCTCCTCATTTATGTGATTTCTTCCAATCGTATCCTCCTGTTCTGAGGATCTGGGGGCTTCCTTGTGGCACCTGTTCTGGGTGGCATCTTCCAACCTCAATGTGGTTAAGAGTTCTGAACGGAGGCTAGTGGTGCTGCTGGTGGTGGTGATACAGCCTTTATGAAAATGTGATCAAAATAATGTGTAACATTTATAAAGCACTGAGCATGTGGCAGGCACTGCCACGGTCTCCATGAATGTAATCTGGTTCTCACAACGACTGCATGGGATGTAGTATTTCACTTTCCACGTTACATGTCAGGAGACAAGCCATGTAGCTCGTAAATGGCCGCACTTGAATTTGAACCTGGGCACACTGACTCAAGGCGTGGCTCTTAACCGCTCTTCCCACGGAAGAGTGAGTACATCGGCCGAGTACATCTGATGACGTGCCTGAGGTCTCGGGGACCTTTCAACAGCTCTCCCTGCAGAGTCTGGGGGAGAAGGGTTGGGTGGGAGCTGCAAAGACGCTTCTTCCTCTGAGCGAATTCGCTCTGCGCTCTTGGGATCAGCTCTCCCTGGAGGTGGCGAGAGAAATTGACCCAGTTTCCAAAAAGGAACCCGAAGTGACCACAAATGGAGTGACGGAAATGTGCTAACATTGAATTTTGGAGCCAGTTGCACAACTACTAGAAATCATTGAACTGTACACTGGAAATGGGTACATTGTCTAATCTGTAAATCATACCACAAAAAAGCAGCAGCCAGGAAAAGGAAATAAAGAAACCAGAATAAGAGTCCATGGGCCAGGGCCAAGGAGACCGCACAGCCCTGGGTTGAAAGGCAGGCGTGGAGTCAATCCTTCATGCCAACATGTGGCCACCAGCTCACCAGCTAGTGAGAAAGAAAGCTTGCCGTTCTGGGGTGCCCCCAGGAGCCAGGACCAGTCGAGTTGAGATCGGCTGTGGGTTCAGATGCCCTGGTCCTCTCTATCCCTGCAGATGTCGGGTGCATTAGGGCAGAGCCAGGTGAGTCAGGTTGCATGGGACTGGATTAGCTGGCTGGAGCTGCTGGGCAAAGCCGGTGGGTGGGAGGTGGTGTCTGCTATGGTCAGAGGAGAAGGTAATGTTGGAGGGATTCTGGGGAGGCTCTTCCTGCAAAACCGCCCAGGTGAAACACTGACCCCTACCGGTCAGAGGGCAGGTGTGCAGGCTTTTTGACCTGTGATATAGAGCATCAGTGGGGAGACAGGGAACCTGTAGGCGCTACTCCAGGTTCATCTCCCCTGTTTTTTATTGGCGGCAAAGGGACTACCTTGTGGGACACATGAGGCCATGAGGTTACTTTGGAGCCTTGCTCGTTATAATTATGGGATTCCTGGGCCACAAGAGGGTGGAGACTATATTCTTCTCTACACAGAACCCACACAACACCCAGAACTGGGCTGCCAGGGGCACAGAGATCAAATGGGGGATTGAAAGGGAGCTTCCAATACGGCTTTCACAACAAATTTCCCCAACATAAAGAAATCTTCCTGTGAGTGAACCTTGATGGGAGAACTATCCAGACACTTGGCTTTAGGTTCACAGGTGGTGGGCTCTGAACCACTTGGAATGATCTGCCGATGCCCTGGGGGTGAAATCACAAATCTCCCAGTTTTCCTCTGCCCTCCCACGAGACAACGTTCCGTCTTTGCCGTGATCGCTGGAAGGCGTGGTTCTCTAGGGCGAGTGGACATTCGCACCTGGAGGGCTTGTTAAACCCAGATCCGGGCCCCATGCCCAGGGTTCCTGATTCAGCAGGTCTGGGTGCAGCCCAAGAACTTTCTAGGCTGGACATGCCGCCGCCGCCGCCGCCGCCGCTGCTGCTGGGACCCCACTCAGAATCGGCGGCCTGGAGAGTGAGTAAGGAACAGGGTCTGGGCAAACCACTTCTGTTGGGAAAGTGGGAAATTGCGTGCTTTCGAAGCTACGAGTACAGGCAGATGAGGTTCTGGGCTGTTTGGGATATTTGTCGGGGTCCTTTATGCGTTTGCCCAGCATATCAACCACCACTCCGTGGGTCTTGGAGAAGCAGACCTGGACTCCACTCAGACTCTCCAGGGAAGCCTCTGGCGGGTCTGGGCAGATGAAGAAAATGCAGATAGGACCATATCTGTATATGTTCAGACTTGAATTGTGGGGTAAGAGCAAGGGTTCCGTTTGACTCTCAGAAGGAGTTTTGTTGGGTGGGGTGATAGAAGACTCAGGACTTGATCGTATAAATTTGATTGAATAATATGGTTGTGCAGAATACAAGGGAATTCCTATTTGGTCGAGAACAGCAGTTCTCGA